GAAGGTACACCAAATTCTAAAGATGTTGACATTTCAATGAATAATTTCTCGAAAGCATCGTGTATTTCTTCTTTTGGTAGAAAAGGTAGTCCAAATAGTCGCCGTACCCATAGATGTAATTTGGCATTTTTTATATATTCTATAAAAAGACCCTTTTTGCCCAACATTCTAAACACCGCTTGATTTAAATGAAACAAGCATAATTTAATGTTTGCTCCCAATACTTTACTAAATGCGTTCATTGCTGAAATCTGACAATCACAGTGTACAATTTTAACATTGATTAAAAAGGGATTTAGTACTTTAAGAGCACGAATAAATGTTTCTTCTGTCTCATTTGGAAGTAATAGAAATGCAATTGGATAACATGTGTTATCAATAAGAGAGTGTAACGTATACAAACATGTAATTATGTTTGGAGTAATTCGATATGTTCCATCACCAAACACTTCTTCTGACTTGGAGGCGATGTGCCGTTGTGTACAAGAAGAAAAAATAAAAAATCTGGAGAGTGTTTGAGTTTCAGTGAAAGAATCATAAAATAAAAAAGTATTGTCTGGATTAGACTCATTTTGAGGTATCAATGTGGTTTTCAAAACTTCCGTGAAATTGATATCTTCAATTGTTTTGGGATTACTTCCAAGAAGTCTTTCTTGTAGTCTGGTTATATATTTATTAATTGATCTATGGTCTTTTATTGACATGTTTGAACAAAAATTGTGTGTCATGACTCTTTTTGTTATTTCACGCGGAGTATCACTTAGACCTTTAACAAATTCTATATCTGCGGCTTCTCTTCGACATCTTGACAAAAATAAACGTTCGTGATCAAAAATACAAGTATGATTTCCAACAATATAATAATCATTATCTTTTACATGTACTGTTACATTACAGTTATTTCCAGCACATTCAAAAACAATATCATTTTTCGATTTGTCCCATTTGGCACGTTGAAAGAAACATATTTTTCCAATACACAATACTGGATGTCGCTTTGGGTTATCATTGAGTTCTTTAAAGAAGCGAAGAGGTTCTTTTGTCATTTGAAATAAATCTGAATAAATTAATTGTAAATGTATTAAATAAACAAAATTTTAAATAAAATATGTTTATAAATATATAAATGTATAATTGTTAAAATAGAGTTTAATTTGAAATAATAAATTGGTTCAAACATCTTGAAATCTAAAATGCATTCAAACATTGACACCAAAATAATTATCAAAAATAAAATATCTTTTATTAAAATTGATAGTATTTATTTTCAATTTCCAGCTATTGTATTTACAATATTCCATATATAATATATATTATTTAATAATTGTTTAGCTGGAAGTACAAAATATGAAAAGATTAATTTTTCTTTTTATAGATGTTTTATTTCTGAAAAAAATCTCTTATTCTTATTATTTTTGTATAAATTAATCAACACAAATGATATACAATTGTAATTTCAAGTATTTTAAATAAATTTCAATTTAATTTTAATTAATTTAATTTAAAAAAATATGTAAAATGCACACAAATTATACCAATAAATTATATTTTTATAATTTCTATTTTTATTCAAACGTATGTTTGTTTTGTATTTTACAATTTTACAATATTAATAACATTGTTTTCTAATTATAAAATAAAAATATATATTTATAGAAAATATATATTTTATTGTTATAAATACAAAATATTTTGAGGGTTTCGACAACTGTCTTAGTTGATAATTGTCAAAGTTGACAAATGTCTTGTAATCCTGTAAATGTACTCTCGCTTGAAAACACCCATTTTGTTGTTGTTTTGAGGATTCATGTTGTTATTTGTACGTGAGGAAGTGTTGTTCTTTTCATCTTCAAAAGTGATAAAGAGTGCTTCGAACGCATTTCCATAGAAAGTGACTCGATAGAAAAATCCGACGTACTTATTCACATTTTTAATATCTTGATACAACTGCATCACAGACACATAACATCTTGAAAGTGTTTTAAAATCACCAATAGAGGAACAATATGGTATAACAAAGTTGTTCAAAGAAATTGCGTATTGTTGCAAATTTTGTTTTCTGAACGCATCAGCAGCTGCAAACACCACATTAAATAAGAACTCCTTGTTAATAAACATAGAGTTATTCAAGTATGTTGGTTGCTTTTTCTCCACCTTTATCTGCTCGGATTCAACTGAGATGATGTCGTACAAATAATTCATATCCAAATCTACTTTGATCACATTCGTT